AAAAAGAGGCCTGTATCTGCAATTTGAACCTTTTCTGAGGCAATCTCTAATCCCCACTGTTTTAATTCAGCCACCAGCATGGGGAAAGCCTTTTGTAAAACATCTAACTCTTTGTGACAAATAAGAATATCGTCCATATAATGGATAACGATTAAAGATGTAAATTGCTTCCTAATTGGCTCCAAAGCCTCCTGCACATACAGCTGACATATTGTTGGGCTATTGGCCATGCCTTGCGGCAGTACCTTCCACTGAAATCTCTTGTCTGGTTCCATATGATTAAGAGAAGGGATAGTGAAGGCAAACCTTGGTCTATCCCGTGGGTAAAGTGGAATAGAGAAGAAACAATCCTTAATATCTATAATAATAAGCTTCCAATCTTGAGGAAGTGCAGAAAGCAAAGGAAGGCCTCTTTGAACAGGGCCAAAAAGATGCATCTGATTGTTAATGGCCCGCAGGTCATGGAGTAATCTCCACTTCCCAGATTTCTTCTTAATAACAAAAATTGGTGTATTCCATGGGGAGGTAGAAGGCTCTAGATGCCCCAGCCGTTCCTGTTCTTGCACTAATCTTGTGACAGCCTCTAATTTTTCAGAGGATAGAGGCCATTGAGAGACCCATAACGGCTCCTCTGTTTTCCATGGTATGGGTCGTGAAGCCTCAACGGCCCCTAAATAAAACCCAGTCCTTTTCTACCCCGATTTCCGTGTTGCGTAATGGGTTTTATTCTGCCTTGTTCTTGCCTACCCAAGCCTCTACCGTTTGTATACCCCATCTTTGCCATAATGGCTGATGCCTGGGGGAGTATTCATTAGTTAGGGTCATGCCCATGGCTTGTAACACATCCCGTCCCCATAAATTTACAGGGAGTGGCAACACATAGGGGTAAAACATCCCTGTTTGCCCTCAGCATTCCGCCAGGTTAAGGCTGAGGCACTGATGGCAGGAGAGGACTGGTATCCAAGACCTTGTAGAGAATGAGATGAAACAACAGTGGGCCAAGACTTCGGCCACCAATGGAGTGAAATAATGCTTTTGTCTGCTCCCATATCCATTATCCCTTCAAATTCTTTTCCATTAATTAACAATTTTATTGTAGGTCTCTCATTTAGGGGTATAGCCAGATAGGCTGAATCACTTCCAGAAGATCCCATAGCCCTTTTTTGTAAAGTGTAGGTTTCTCCATCCCCGAGGGAGGGCAGCAACACCAGTTGTGCAATTCTATCTCCCTGCTTTATAGAAAATACACCCCGAGGGCTAGAACAGAGAACTTGAATCTCCTCTTTATGATACGGGTCAACAATTCCAGGATATATAATGAGTCCCTGTAAAGTTAAGGAGCCACGGCCCAGAATAAGCCCAATGGTGGCAGGGGGCAAAGGTCCAGGGGAATGGACTGGGACCGGTTGAACATTCATTTGGGGCATGAGTAAGAAGTCGGAGGCGGCACGCAAGTCCATTCCGGGGGTTCCTCGGAAGCCTCTACTTCCTCTTGATTGCTTTTCTGAAATTGGTTCCCATATTTCTGAGGGCCCTGGGACCATGGGCCCCGTGACCCGTTTTTTGATTGGGGTACCTTGGGTTCTTCAATAGGGGGCAGAAGCCTCCCTTTTACATCCCGGACTGACCTGCATTCGCTAGCCCTATGATAACCTTTACCACAACGATGGCAAAGCTTCGATTCTCTTGTTCTTTCAGGGGCTTGACAATCTTTCTTAAGGTGCCCCATTCTCCCACAATTAAAACAAGCTTTTCGATTAGATAAATCTCTATACCTGTGCGTTTGTAAAATGGCGGCAGCTAGTCCTGCATTGGTTAGGGGTCCCCCAGCTCCCTGCACACTCTGAGCCAATCTTGTAAACCTTTGCTTTTGCGAGGGCGATAGCCGCTCGACATTCCTGGGTTGCTTGTTCATAGACAAGTTGCTCAATCAGGGGCATAGCTTGTTCTGAATCACCAAAGATGCGACTGGCGGCCTCTGTCATTCTGGCCACAAAGTCTGAAAATGGCTCTTGGGGTCCTTGGACAATCTTTGTAAGGTGTCCACTGGACTCTCCCCTTTTGTGAGGGCCTTCCATGCTTTAATAGCGGCGGCCGACACCTGACCATAGACACCCCAGATGTAGTTGGTTTGATTAAGGGCATGTTGACCCTGACCTGTCAGCATTTCAAATGTCCACTGCCTCTGATTCTCATCTTCAGCTGTGGCATTAACTCTAGCTTGTGCCTGGGCTGCATCATACCAGAGAGCCTTCCATTCCATGTATTGTCCCATGTTGGGAAGCACTGCTTTCACTGTCGTCTGCCAGTCAGTGGGAGTCATGGCAAAATTAGCAAGCCTTTCTACCTGTATTGTGGTAAAGTTAGCATTGACCCCATAATTACGAACGGATTCGGCCAATTCTTTGATTTGATTGTAATCTACAGGGGTATGTACTCTTCCGCCTTCCACATTCTCGAATACTGGAAAAGCCATTTGTATTTTTCTCCGTTCCTCTAAAGGTAAAAAGGAGTCAGTACCAGTATTCAGCCGAAGCTCATACTGCGGAGGCGCTGAGGGGCGTGAGCCCGCCGGATTTATAGGCGGTGGTCTCACATTCATTTTTGTTTTCAGTGGCCGGTGTCTATCAGGGTGATATCTTTCTTCCTCATACCGTGCCACCTCCTCCTCTAGACCACCTTCTTCGCTAGAATACAGAGTGTCAGAATCAGAATTATCTAGCTCCAAGGCTTCTAGCTCTACTGTAGGGTATAGACTAGATTCTGGCTTTTTCTTTTTCTTAGATTTGTTAGGGGGTGAATGATCACTCCCTTCTTTCTCTCCCCCTTTCTTAACTTCTTGGGGAGGGCCTTTTTTCTTAGACATGTCTTTCCTTTTGCGAGCTCCCATTCTCTCACTCCGTTCAGTTTCTGACATGCTATCCTGAACTTCCTCTAAGGTTCCCTGACTTTCTATTATAGCAGGGTGACAGGCCTCATCCTCCAAGCAGTTTTTAACTAGCTTCCAAATGGCTTTGGTACCTAAGTGGAGATCTCCTTCTGCATGCTTCCTGTCTAGTTCTTTACCTAGCTTGTTCCATGAGGCCACAGTGAGGGACCCGGAACAAGCATACCATGGTGCCACTCTATCTACCTCCTTCACAAAATTTTGAAGTGTTCGTGGTGCAATTTTAAGATCTCTTTGTTTTAGCACAGTCTGTAGGGCAGTAACCACTGACTGTGACAACCCCATCGCGCTGGCGGCTTATCTAAAAAACGGCGCTCAACTCCGTTACCAGACTGACAGCACCAGACTGACAGCACCAGACTGACAGCACCAGACTGACAGCACCAGCCACGATGAAGGAGAAGGACAAACAGGACTAGCACCAAAGCCTCCACTGACCCGTCCCACGGTGATGACAAACTAAGGCCAAAGTCGAGAAAGGGGTATTCAGGATAAAGCATACCTCTCTGAACTTACGTCCCTGCAGTTCTGAATCCGCCCCGTCTTCCGAGGGGTCTCCCGCGGCGCCGGCGATGTTGAAGAGTTCCCGGGTTTCGGCACCAGATGTCCCGCGCTACCGTCTCGCCAGCAAGAACGACGCAGAACACTCGGATCCTTCTGCAGTAAAGCTTTAATGCATCTTGAGAGATAGATGATCAGCTTCTTAGAGGGAGACCCCAAGCTAAGAAACCCAGCCCCTTATATAAGCCTAGGAGCTCCGAGTGAGACGTGTAGAGCCGGGATTGGTGGTTTGCACATCACCCCAGATGACGCCATGGGAGAGGCACAGCTTAAACGGTTAACTCCAACTGACAGCAGATGTCAGCGCCATCTTCTAACGGTTAACTCCAACTGACAGCAGATGTCAGCGCCATCTTCTAACGGCAATAGCGATAGGGAGGGCGGCTCCTCACACCAAGGCAACTACTTAAAAGACAGGTAGTTGTCTGTGGACAACCTGCATTCCCACTAGGTTCTCAGGAAACGATGACAGTGCTATTATTGGTGAAAGAAAGAATCAATCACAGGCATCCTCTAACTCCTTCAGAGTCATTTAAAAAACTGAAATAGTTCACTTTTTGCAAATTCATAACTAATTAAAGCCTTTTAAGAACATTTTACAATCTGGTTTTAAAAGTCAACATGTATTAAGATTCAACTGGTAGGAAAACCTCATGCTTATGACATCCCATTAATAAATATTCTGACAATTAACTTGGAAATAATTCCAAGACTGATTTTTAAAACTTAAAATCCAGACAAGACGAAGCCTGGTGCACCAGTCTTAAAGGAACAAACACAGAGATAAATTCTGATGAGCAGATGACATAAACATACGTACATGTATGGAGGCATTCTGTCACTGTTGTTGGCTTGATCAGGTACCCTTTACAAATATAGCAGGTGATGTAGGGGTTGAAGTCTTTCACCAAGTGTTTCCTTTGGGTAGCCATTCGTGGTTAGCTGGCTTTGGCAGTTCAGGCAAACAGGGGCACTAAGTGGATGCAAAGCTGGTCCCAGTGGCTTGTGCAGTGTTCTTGGTAGATGTCCTGACGCATGAGCATGAACGTCCCGCCTGAGCACAGACCACTGTCATCTCTCCCTCTGACAGCCCTGCTTTTTCATACCTAGCGGCCGCTGCCGCTCCTCAGTCCGCCGGCGCGCCCACCTCCGAGCCCGGGAAAGCCGAAAGAGAAACAGCGCCTGCCTCGGCCTGTCTGGTCCCCGCGCCCTGTCCGCCCTCCCCCAGCAGGCGGGAGCGCGCGGGCTCCATGGGGCCACTCGGCTCTGGCGCGGTAGGGCGCGGCGGGCCTCGGGCCAGAATCCCAGATTTTTAACCTGTTTCCTCTCACAGTTCCCTTCCTCTACGAAGACCTGGCCTGATGGCTGCAGAGGAGTCTTCCCTGGCCTCAGCCTGTCCATCTGACCCTCCTCTTTTGATCTGAGTTCTAGGGTCGGGATCAATGTATCACAAAACAGACTTCTCTTATCAGGCCCTTTGCTCTGTTTTCAGTGTTTTTAATGGAGCAGAGGATCTGGGCACAGGATGGTGAGTCTGTTCTCTGTTTTATCCTAGGGAAATGGGGTTTGGCTGGGAGTAGCGTGGGAGGAGCTTGAAGCATCTTGAGCAGACACTGAGATTTTCATTGGCAGCCTATGGCACACTTACTTAATGATTAGTCCTTGGTACTGCAGCCATCTTTGATGTGGATATTCTCCCCCAAATACTAGCAATGCCTGCTTGAAATCTGTCTCTGATGGATATTGAAACAAATGGCACAGAGGAGGGGCTACCTGCACACACACGTGTAAAGGGAAGCCTTTTCCTTGAGAGAAGCCTTCCTGCCAGCCTGGTTCCAGACCCGCATCAGTCCCAAATAAACACGCAGAAGGCTATATTAATTATGAAGCTGTTGGCCCTGCTTGTTTCTTACTGGCTAGCTCTGACTTAAGTATTTATCCCATAATTGCTAATCTAAGTATTTCTCTTACCGGAGAGATTTCTGGGCTTCCTACTCCATGGTGGTACATCTTGACTCTCTGTGTTTCTCCTATCCAGAGTCCTCCTCGACTCCTAGTCCCACCTATCTTAGTTCCCTATTGGCCAACAGTGCTTTATTGACACATACACAGGACTTCCCACATCACACATGCTTCCTTTTGAGGATACAGACATTTGATTTGTTTTCTTTTCCCTTCCATCTCTTCTCACTTGGGCTATTGTCTGGCTCTCTTTGGTTTTATTTTTTGAGACAGGGTTTCTCTGTGGCTTTGGAGGCTGTCCTGGAACTCCCTTGGTAGTCCAGGCTGGTCTCGAACTCACAGAGATCCGCCCGCCTCTGCCTCCCGAGTGCTGGGATTAAAGGCGTGCGCCACCAATGCCTGGCTGTCTGGCTCTCTTACTGAGGTCTGCCCTTGACAAGACACATCATCCATGAGACAGAAATAAATGAAATAAATGCTGTCAAATGTGGGTGTTGCCCAGATGGGATTCATTTATTTTCGGAGGCTCCCTGCCTTTGTGTGATATTGGAGATGGAACAGTGGTCGAGTTTTCATGGAAGCAAGAGCCAAAGTCAGACATAGGTTAGTGATTTAATGCTGTTTCCTGTTGATTGTGCCAGTTAAGTGGGAAGGTTTGGTGATAGGAATGGCCACCCACAGGGTCCGTTCCTGGGCTGGGAGGAGACAAGGACTTAGACAGTTGTTAGCACTAAGGTAGGAGAGTTACTCTTAACATTGTTTGTGAACACTAAAGATGATTAGGTCTTTGGAAATATGCTAGGAACTTAATTCTGAAAATGATGAGTCTTCACTTTGGAGGTGAGCTGTTTAGTTTTCTTCCAACAAGACACAAGGTAGAGTTATCTGGGAAGAAGAGACATCTGATGGGAAGTTCTGTGTATATGTCAATAAAGCACTGTTGGCCAGTAGGGAAGCAAGATACGTGGGACTAGGAGTCTAGGAGGATTCTGGAAAATGTAGTAAAGAAGCTGGTCGCCATGTGAATCCCGGCAGGAGTCCTAGGAAAGATAAGTTCTTGTAAAAATATATATGGTGATTATGGGTCAATAATTAAGTCAGAGATAGCCAATGAGAAACAATAACAAATGGTCAATAGCTTATAATTAATATAATGTCCTGTGTGTTATTTGGGGGTTCAGGCAGCTGGTGGGGAAGACAACAGGTTACAGACATCAACTGAGGAATTGCCCCCACCGTAGTGGCCTATGGGCATGTCTGTGGGGACATTTTCTTGATTAGTAATGGATGATGGAGCTACTCTACGACTCCTTGGGATCCTGGCTTTCCTGACATTAGTTGACTACTGAGTTTTTTTTTCTGTGTCTCTCCAGGGCCACCACCCCAGCCTTCCATCTGGGCAGTTCCAGGAGCTGTGATTTCCACAGGCAGTGATGTGAGCATCTTCTGCAGGACCCCTCCAGGGGTGACCACAGTGCGTCTATACCATTATGGACCTTATGGAAGATGGTCTGATCGTACCCCGGAGGGAGCCCAGGAGGTGTTTGAATTCAGTCTGCAGAGGATGACACTCAGTAATGCGGGAGATTACTACTGTGAATACACCAAGGAAGGTCAATGGTCACAGAGTGACAGACTGGAGCTGGTGGTGACAGGTGAGGACCTGCCCAAGAACACTGTTCTTTAGCATCAGTCTCACTGAACCACATATGCCCCATCACAGGCCCTGCCCTGTGTCTCTGCTCCCATGTATTAATCTCTCCCCTCCCCTCCATTCTCCTCCTCTCCCTCTCCCTCACCCCTGCCATTTCCCCTCTTGTCTCTGCTCCACTCCTTCTCTTTCTTCCTCTCCTCACATTTCATCCTTTACTTTTTCAATTTCCATTTTTTTCTTGATTTTTTTGGAGACATGTTCTCACATATCTCATACTGGCATGGAGCTTGCCGTGTACCCACAAACTTAGTCTTGAGTTTATGATCCCCTTGCTTCTACTCCCCTAGTAGTGCATTATAGACCCGGACAGTGACACCATTCACATGGTGATGGGCATAGAACACAGGGCACTGTGCGTATTAGGCAAACACTTGGTCAGCTGCGATGCATTCCCAGCCTTCTGCTTTGGTTTGTGATCCTCCCTCTTTTCTGAATGCGTTACAGCCTCCCTTCTGAGAGGTGACTCTAGCCCCTAAGGGGTAGAGTTCATGGAACTGAGAGGTGCTTTCTGCCTTCCTAGAGCCTCTCGATGGTATTGGTTCATGGAAGATAATAAAAGCAAGTTTTGTGACCTCTGTAGATTAGCAATAAATAGACGAGCTTCCTTTTGTCGTCATCTTTTCTTCTCTGTGGTCAGACTCTGTGAATCGTAGGCTTATTTTTAAGCAGGCTAAAAAATGGAGAATGGAGTGGGGGTGGGGCGGGAGGGGAGGGAGAGGGAACTGAGAGTGACATGTGTAAAAAGTTAAATAAAAAATATGAAAAAAGAGGATTAGAAAAACAAAACAAAATGGGCTGTGCTGTCTAGTTTTTTTTCAAGACAGGGGTTCTCTGTATTGTTTTGGAGGCTGTCCTGGAACTCTCTCTGTAGACCAGGCTGGCCTCAAACTCACAGAGATCCTCCTGCCTCTGCCTCCCAAGGGCTGGGATTAAAGGCGTGTGCCACCAATGCCCAGCCTGTCTAGTTTTTTTGTGTGTGTCAACTTGACACAAGCTAGAGTCATCAGAGAGGAAGGAGTGTCAGTTGAGTAAATGTCTCCATGAGATCCGGCTTTTCTCAAGGCGTTTTCTCAAGTAGTGACCAATGGGGGAGGGACAAGTCCATTGTGGCTGATGGCATGGCTGGGCTGGTGGTTCTGGGTTCTCTAAAAATGTGGGCTGAGCAAACCAGGGGGAGCCAGCTAGTCAGCAGCACTCGCTGATGGCCTCTGCATCAGCTCCTGCGTCTACCATCCCACCCTGTGTCTGCCCTGACTTCTTCAGTGATGAGCAGCAGGCATCAGCTCCTGTATCTAGCATCCCACCCTATGTCTGCTCTGACTTCTTTAGTGATGAGCAGCAGGCATCAGCTCCTGCGTCTACCATCCCGCCCTGTGTCTGCCCTGACTTCTTCAGTGATGAGCAGCAGGTATCAGCTCCTGCGTCTACCATCCCTCCCTGCTTCTGCCCTGACTTCTTCAGTGATGAGCAGCAGGTATCAGCTCCTGCGTCTACCATCCCACCCTGCTTCTGTCCTGACTTCTTCAGTGATGAGCAGCAGGCATCAGCTCCTGCGTCTAGCATCCCGCCCTGCTTGTCTTTCTGCCCTGACTTCTTCAGTGATGAGCAGCAGGTATCAGCTCCTGCGTCTAGCATCCCGCCCTGCTTGTCTTTCTGCCCTGACTTCTTCAGTGATGAGCAGTAACACTGAAGTGTAAGCCAAATGAACCCGTTCCTCCCTGACTTGCTTCTTGGTCATGGTGTTTCATCACAGCAATCGACGTCCTAACTAAAAGAATTGTCTTTTCGCAATTCTTTTGAGACAGGGCCTCACCACGTAACCCTGTATAGTTTTGAAACCACAATATAGAGCAGGTTACTTTTTAAAAAAATATACGTTTTTGTTTAAATTAGAAACGGCCTTATTTTTACATATCAATCCCAGTTCTCTCTCCTTCTCATCCTCCCATGAACCCCCCAATCCCTTCATCCCATCCTCAATTTTCTCCCCAGGGAGGGTGAGGCCTTTCATTAGAAATCATCAAAGTCTGTCATGTCTTTTGGGGCATGGCCTAGTCCCCCTCCCTGTGTTTCTAAGCTGAGAGAGTATCCCTCCATAGGGAATAGAGAGCAGGTTGTTTTTAAACTCACAAATATCTATCTGCCTCTGTCTCCCGAGTGATAGAATTAAAGCCATGTGTTACCATGACCAACTAATAGCAGGGCCTTTTATTTCCAGGTGTTTACAAGGAGAAACCATCCCTTACTGTGGATTCAGGACCTCAGGGATTCTCAGAAAGAAATGTGACTCTTCTCTGTTGCACACATCCTTCATTTGACATCTTCATCCTCTGCAGAGGCGGAAATGCTTCCTTACCCCAGAACTGTTCACGCCAGCACCACAACACTTTCCTCATCTCCCCTGTGAGCCTGGGGCACAGGAGGAGCTACAGATGCTTTGGCTCTTACAAACGCAGTTCCTACTCGTGGTCCCTGCCTAGTGATCCCCTGGAACTCCCAATCACAGGTGAGCGCATTTCTTCTTCCTTCCTTCCTTCCTTCCTTCCTTCCTTCCTTTCTTTCTTTCTTTCTTTCTTTTTTTCTTTTAGAGTCGGGAGGGCAAGCAAGTGAATACTGGATGCCCCAAGTTTATTCGTCAATATTCAACCAAAAGGGGAGCATGGCAAAAGATTTCTTTATCCTGTATAAGGAACAAACTGACTTTCTTTCCTTAATTCTCTAAATATTTGGTAACTACACCTTAGACTCAATTTCCTGTTATCTGACCTTGGGGTCAAGAGTAACCACACCTCAAACCAAGTCTGTTGCTGTAGATAAGACATCCATGACCAAGATCAAAACATCCTGCAGTAGCCACGCCTTAGACCTTTAGTTCTTACGACTTTAACCTTGGAAGAGTGAGCTCTCCGACCTTACGTCAAGACGAGTGAGCGTGTTTCTTGCACTAGTCTTTCAGCCTGTTCTCAGAGAGGCCTCAAGGTGTGTCCAGCAGGATGCAGCGATTCCACTGTGCATCAGGCATGTGCTGGCTTTTGCACACTGTGCCACCATCCTGCCCCTAGTCACTTCATTTGTGCTACGGAATCTAAACATTGTCTGCAAACTATGTAAGATTAAGGCATGTGCAGGTATACTCCTTTGGAAAAGATATGCCATTAACTATCATGATGTATGGTGTTCAACCCAGTTATTGGCTGTGCAAGCTACTGAAGTGTGTTCACGCTTGCACACACACACACAACACACACCCCTTGCTAGCTAATAGCGATAGAGAATTTGACAGGGTCTGTGGTAGCTTCCTCATTCAGGAGGACTTTAGTCTTTGTCTCACGTCCTATTTTATGAACATGGTATAGATACTGTCCACATGCCCCTTTGGGGTACATGGGACAGGTGAGGAATAAAAGGGGAAGGGAAAGCAAATCTCTCTCTCTTGGATCCTGGCCACTGTGAGGACATTGGAGCACTTCTCATTGAGTGAGTTCTATATTCAATAAAATATCTTAGACCTCCTTTTCAGGGAACATGACTTTTATTGTGGTTTTATATCTATATCTATGTTTATGCCTATGTCTATGTCTATATCTATATCTATCTAAATATAACCTCTGTGTCTGTATAATGTTATTTGTATATATGTTTCCAGTGTTGACCATCTGCCACTGAACAATCAGCTGATGTTCTCTTTGCTCTGAAATACCTCCTGTCTTGCTTCCCTTTTTCCTTAGTTGCCTATAGATCTTTTGTCTAGCACATAAAACTTTTCATTACTACACATTCATTGTACAAAGTGTTGTTTCCTTTCACACACATTGTGAAATTTGACTTGTATTCAGTTGGTGCTCATGTGCTCATGCTATGTGTGATAAGTCAGATGGAAACAGACAGCAGGCTGGAAGATGGTAAGAGGGGAAAAGAATGCCATTTTGGACACAATACATCCACTCCATTATGAACTCAGTGAAACTGCACTTGCCACTGAGGCTGCCTCCGACTAAACATGGATGGGAGAAGGGCTGAAGAGTTCCTGATATCCTCCTGATGACCTAGTCACCATTGATAGATTCTGGAAATTGAGGTATCACTCCCATTGGTTGTGTGACCATTTATTAACCCACTAACCTTCCATGGAGAGTTGTACACTCATGGTCACACAGATGGCTCTGTTTAAACACACTGGATCTCCAAACTCAAGAGAAACAAACACATGACTATAGAATAGGGACTGAAGGAGAGGATAAGGGTGTGTAGAGGCAGGAGAGAGGTAGGGAAGGCTAGGAAGCCAGAGTACTCAGAATACGTTGTCCAAGAATCAAGGGCAGAGAGACAACTAGCATTGATCAAGCTAACTAGATTATTGCTTTGTGTATTGTGAGACTGAAGTTAAGTGACATAGCAGCAGAAGTATGAACTTTCACTTTGCATTTACAACCTGGGCTTTAAGTAGATATGGATGTGGTTGTGCCACAGATTCCAGTGAATATACTAGAACCAGAAGAGCCACAATAACAGTATCCTAGGAATAAGCACCAGTTCAAATCTATATAGTCTGTATTGGTTTCAGTAGAGCTTCGACACACATCTCTTTTTGTGCTTTATTCCAAAGAAATATGATCCTTGCATGAGTAGAAAGTGCAGTTGCTGAATTTTTCAGTCTAAGTGCCCCTAGTTCATTCAACCCAAAAGCCTCCTTAGCTCTCCATACAGTTCTGTGTATTTATCAGAAGCGGTGTTTCGATAAGTCATGTAGAGATGTGCTTTGTTCTAAGACCAAAAGTAGTGGTCCTTTAAGAAAAACCAGCCAAAAATAAAGTTGATGCTTGTTGACAGAAAAACATTAAATTTTGCTTTTCTTTTTCTCCACAGAGTCTCGTACTTCAGATTACAGATTAGAAAATTGTATCCGGCTTATCCTGGCTATCATCATCCTGTTAGGTATTGGGGTTCTATTGCTGGATGCTTGGAAGAGCAGAAGAGAGCCCATGAGGCCTTCAGAGAGTCCTAAGTGGAGAGCCTAGCTATCCCTTTCTACACCTCAACAAAGTGCTGGCAATAAAGACTCTAAAGGAGACGTGATGTCTCTTCAGTGTATGCAGTGTCTGCAAGTGTGGTGATGGGAGATGCCATTCTGTAAATATGTCTCTCTTATTGGTTGATGAATAAAGCACTGTTGGCCAGAAGGGAAGCAAGATAGGTAGGACTAGGAGTCGAGGAGGATTCTAAAAAATGTAGTCAAGAGTAGAGGGTTGCCATGTGATCTCAGAAAGAGAGGACACATGAGGCTGCGTCCTCGGTAAGATAAGTCCTTGTGAAAATATATAGATTAGTAATTATGGATTAATAATTAAGTCAGATAGCCAATGAAAAATCATAGCAAACAGCCAATAGCTTCATAATTAATATAGCGTCCTGTGTGTTCATTTGGGACTGACGTGGATCTGGGACCAGGCTGGCAGAAAGAATACACGTTACAGTGTGGTATGATAACTATGATGAGACTGGAATTTCAGAATTTTTGTGTGGTTTTGTAGGAGAAATCCTCCAAGTAGTAGATCCCTGTTCCTCTCTTCTGTCTCCTGTGGGACATCTCTGTGCAGAACCCATCTCTCATATGCATGTGTCTGCTTTCCTCCTTATTCTTCCCTGCTCCCCTGTGGACATCTGATTTTGAAATGTTAGTGAATCACATTTAAATTTTAAAAATTTAATAACAATTGAATTTAATAATAGTCTTATGTTACAAACCAATCCCTGTTCCTTCTCCTTCAAGTCCTCCCACTCCCCTTACCATCTCCCCATCCTACCTCTATCCACCTTTCATAGAGGATGAAGCCTCCCATGGGGGATCATCATGGTCTGTCACACCATTTGTGGCAGGACCAAGGCCCTCCCTCCTGTATCTAGGCTGAGAGAGTATCCCTTCATAGGGAATGGGCTCCAAAAAGCCAGTTCATACACTAGGGATAAATTCTGGTTCCACTGATTTCCCACGTCTCCCAGCTGACACCCAAATTTAGGGGACCTGGTTTGGTCTCATGCTGGTTCCTCAGCTGTCAGACTGGAGTTTGGGAGCCCCCAGTTGCTCAGGTCAGCTGTTTTTGCAGGTTTCCCCAACATGGTTTTGATCCCTTTGCTCATCATTCCTTCTGCTCTACAACTGGACTTGGCTCGGTGCTTAGCTGTGAATCTTTGCTTCTGCTTCCATCAGCTATTAGATAAAGGTTCTAGGATGGCATTTAAGGTAGCCATCAATCTCATCATAGGGGAAGGACATTTAAGGTAGCCCCTCCACTATTGCTTAGATTCTTAGTTTGGGTCATTCTTATGAACTCCTGGGAATTTCCCTGGTACCACATTTCTCATTAAGCCCATAACAGCTCCCTCTATCAAGGTATCTCCCTCCTTGCTCTCCTTCTCTGTCCTTCCCCCAACTGGACCTTCCTGATACCACACGTTCTCCTCCCTCCTCCCTTCTCACCTCCTCTTTCTCCTAGCTCCCTCCTACTCGCCTGTTCTTCCAGTTTACTCAGGAGGTCTTGTCCCTTTCTTCTTTTCAGGGATCCATGTATGTCTCTCTTAGGGTCCTCCTTGCTTCCTAGCTTCTCTAGGGTTATGGATGGTAGGCTGGTTATCCTTAGCTCTATGTCTAATATCCACTTATGAGTGAGTGCATACTATGTTTGTTTTTCTGTGTCTGGGTTACTTCACTTAGGATAGTTTCTTCTAGTTTCATCCATTTGCCTATGAATTTCAAGATGTCATTGTTTTTTTCCACTGAGTAGTATTCCATTTTGTAAATGTGCCATATTTTCTTTATTCATTCTTTGGTTGAGGGGCATCTATGTTGTTTTCAGTTCTGGTTATTACAAATAATGCTGCTAAGAACATAGCTGAACAGATGTCTTTGTGGTATGAGTGTGCATCCTTTGGGTATATGCGTAAGAGTGGAATTGCTGGGTCTTGAGGTATACTGGTTCCCATTTTCCTGAGGAAACGCCATACTGATTTTCAAAGTGGCTGTACAAGTTTGTATTCCCCCTGGTAGTGGAGGGGTGTCCCCCTTACTCCACATTTTCTCTGGCATAAGCTGTCATTGGTGTTTCTGATCTTAGCCATTCTGACAGGTGTAAGATGATATGTCAGAGTTGTTTTGATTTGCATTTCCCTGATGGTTAAGGATGTTGAGTAATTCCTTAAGTGTCTTTTGGCTGTTTGAGATTCCTCTGTTGAGAATTCCTTATTTATATCTGTAGCCCATTTTTCATTGGATTATTTTGTGTTTTGGTGTATAGTTTCTTGAGTTCTTTGTATATTTTGGAGATAAGCCCTCTGTCAGCTGTGGCAATGGTGAAGATCTTTTCCCATTCTTGAGGGTGCCTTTTCATCTTTTTGACTGTGTCCTTTGCCTTACAGAAGCTTTTCAGGAGGTCCCATTTATTAATTGTTGATCTCAGTATTTGCACAACTGGTGTTATGTTCAGGAAGTGGTCTCCTGTGCCAATGTGTTCTAACCATCTTCCTACTTTCTCTTCTATCAATTTCAGTGTAACTGGAACATATTTGTCTCTCATACAAAACATATGCGAGTACTGTTTCCTTTCTCTATACTCCTAACCACTCTGCCTTCTTCCTGTCTCTCCCAGATACACTCTTCTCTTTTGCTCCCTTCAGAAAAATGCAGGCCTCCAAGAGACAGCAACCAAACAGGACAAAGCAAGATACAAAAATATGAGGCAAAGGACCTCATGTTGTGACTGGACAGTGCAACCCAAAAGGAGGAAAGTGTCCCAAGAACAGGCAAAAGAGTCAGAGGCAGACTGGTCTCCATTATTATGAATCTCAGGAAACACCAAGCTAGTAGCCATAGTATATTTGTAGAGAACATAGCTCAGACATATGCAGACTGATGCTTCGTTGTCGGTGAGCCCATATGAGCCCAGCTTACTTGATTCAATGAGCCGTGTTTTCCTGGTGTCCTCCATGCCTTCTGACTCCTACAATATTTCCTCCCCCTCTCCTGTGGAACTCTTCAGTCTTCAAGGGCGGGATCCAATGTAGACCTTCAATTTAGACACCCTCTCTGCATAATATCTGTCTGTGGTTCTCTGCACCTGCTGCCTGCATCTGTTGCCAGAGGGAGCCTCTCTGATGATGACTGATCCCTCCTACTCCCTCCCTTCCCACCCCTGCCCACCCACAAAATCTATTCTATTTCCCTTTTCTCTAGCAGAACTATTGTTATACCTGGTCCACAAGCTCTCCAGAGAGATCACCAAGGGTCTGAGCCACTGAATGCAAGCGCACAAGGTTTCTTTATTAAATTCAAGCCTAGGTAGGGACCTTGTCCTGCCAACTGAGGTAGCAGCTGCAGGAGAAGGCACCTGAGCCTCCTTACAAGCAAGGGGATTTTAAAGACAAAGACCACAGGATAGGGTGAGGGGTATGATTTTAAAGCTTATTGGCTGGGATGTCTAGAGGAGCTTGGGGAGTTTGGATAGTTTCTGCAGATTTATCTCTGGGGTCATATGCATTCTCTGGAGGCATATGTGCACCCGAAGGTTGTTTCTGTAACTCTGTTAATTGGCTAACCCGGGGTTAGGCCTTTTGGGGTTATCTCAACCTTTCTGTCTGTCAACATTTCCCAGAGCCAACCGCACAGGTCATGGGGTGAGGTTCTCATATTCTATTTCCTGCCATCCTTTTGAAAATGGCCCTTGTTTGGTCTCTCACTATGCATTTCATTCTGCAGTTGCTGATCTTAGTGTCTGTGCTTAGTGTGGTTTTATTACTGCAGCTCTGTAGTACAATCTGAAATTAGTTCTTGCATTGGTCAGGATGGTTTCAGCTATCCATTTCTTCCCATATGAAGTTTTGACCAATGTATCCATTTCTTTCTTTCTTTCTTTTTTTTTCAGACAGGCTTTGTCTGTGTAGCTTTGTAGACCAGATTGGCCTCGAACTCATGGAGATCCCCCTGCCTCTGCCTCCCAAGTGCTGGGATTAAAGGAGTTAGGTCAATATAGCCATTTCTTCTATCGTATCTTCAATGACTGAGATTTTCTCTTCCATCTTCTGTATTCTGATGGTGAAGTTTGCCTCTCTACTTCCTGTTTCCATCCCTACATTTTTCATTTCCTGGATTCCATCCATTTGAGTTTAGTTTATTGAATCTGTTTCCCTGTTCAGGTGTTCAACAGTTGTACCTGTTTCTTTCACCTGCTTCTCCCCACCCCCCAGCTTTTTAGAATGGATTCAGTTCTTCTTTAGGGAGTTCTGTCATCATCATGTTGTTTGTCTTGGAACATTTACGGCTTCCTGGCTGTGGTAGGATCTCTGAGTGCTGTTGGAGACAGTGCCCTGGCTGTTCTTGATTATGATTTCATAGTCATATCTAAGCATCTGAGTTGGGGGTGATAGGTCTAGGTGATGATTTCTAGATTTGTCTTTTTTTTTGGTTGGTGTTTTTTCCCTTGGTTTGTCTCCTGTCTGGAATTTTGGAGATTGTGATGGCTGTTTTGCCTCTTTCCCCCCGACCTCTTAAGCTGTTATCTTCAAAGGGAATTTCTGCTGCTGTTGAAGGCTTGGATAATAGGATGAGATGGGAGAAGGCAGGTTGGAGGAGAAAGTTTTTGTGACACTTAGGGGTGGAGTCAGAGATGAACTGGCAGCCACAGAAGATTTCCTGCCACGTGGCTTGGGATAAAACTAGGGGTATGGGATCTCAGGAACAGTAGAAGAGGTGTGGGTCTGCCTTCATCCTTCTTGTTGCTCTGGGAGGAGATGCCCTTGCATTATCATGGGGTGTCTTTTGGACTGGGGTCTGTGATAAAGCAATGAGTTGAAGGAGGGTGGTGAGAAAGGAGAAGATCTCTGGGGTCCAAGGCAGATGAATCAAGGGCTTGGGTTGCCATGTGTGTTCTGTTACAGAGCTGAAGATGGGACTGGAGAATTTGTTCTGGGGAAGCAGAGAGAGATGTTTTGTGAGCAGTGAATGTAGTTTTGTGGCAGGCGTAGTTGGTGGGTTAGCTTAGGGCTGCTTGCTGTACATCATGACCTTTTACTTGTTCCAGTGGATGTATTTTGTTTTCTTGTTTAAAATAATGTTTTTGTGAGTGTTGTTAATTTCCTTTGGTTGGAGTTTTCCTTCCAGTACTTTCTGTAGGGCTGGATTTGTGGATCTGTATTGTTTAAATCTGTTTTTTTTTGTTTTTGGTCATGGAATATCTTGTTTTTTTTCCATCTACAATGATTGAAAACTTTGCTGTGTGTAGTTCTCTGGGCTGGCATCCATGGTTTCTTAGTGTTTGTAGAATAATATCTATCCAGGACTCTCTCACTTTCAGAGTTTCCATTGAGAAGTCAGGTGTGACTTTCTATTTACTTGACCTTTTTTCCTTTGCAGCTCTCAATATTCTTTCTTTATTCTGTATGTTTGGTGTTTTGATTATTGTGTGGCAGGGGTACTTTTTTATTGGTCCAGTCTATTTGGTGTTCAGTAAGCTTCTTGTGCTTTTATAGGCTTGTCCTTCTTCAGGTTGGGAAAGTTTTCTTCTAAGGTATTGTTGAATATGTTGTCTACACCTTTGAATTTGGCTCCATCACCTTCTCTACCTATTATAATTTTTAAATTTTATTTTTATTTTAATCAGAAACAATCTTCTTTTACATGTCAATCCTAGTTCCCTCTCCCTCCCCTCTTCCCTTGCCCCACACTGACCTCCTATCCCATCCCCTTTCTGCTCCCCAGGGGCAGATCTGCAATGTCTGTCATATCATTTGGAGCAGGGCCTACCCAAACTTATGGGACACTTTGAAAGCAATAAGAGGAAAGTGTTCATAGCACTAAGTGCCCACAATAAGAAACTGGAGAATAGTCACACTAGAGAATTAATAGCACAATTGAAAGCTCTAGAACAAAAAGAAACAAACTCACCCCAAGGAGTAGACTTCAGGAACTAATCAAATTGAGGGGTAAAATCAATAAAGTAGAAACTAGGAAAACAATACAAAGAATCAATGCAATGAAGAGTTGGTTTTTCAAGAAAATTAACAGGATAGACAAACCTTTATCAAAACTTACCAAATGGCAGAGTGTGAACATGCAAATTAACAAAATCAGAAGTGAAAAGGGGGACATAACAGTTGAAACTGAGAAAATCCAGAGAATCATCAGGCCATACTTTGAAAACCTGTACTCCTCCAAATTTGAAAATCTAAAGGAAATGGAGAGTTTTCTGCATAGATATCACTTACCAAAATTAAATCAAGAACAGATAAGCAATTTAAATAGACCTATAACCCCTAATGAAATAGTAGTAGTTATCAAAAGTCTCCCAACCAAAAAAGCCCAGGGCCAGATGGCCTCAGTACAGAATTCTACCAGAAATTCAAAGAACAGCTAATACCAATTCTCCTCAAAGTATCCTACACAATAGAAGCAGAAGGGTCATTGCCAAACTCTTTTTATGAGGCTACAATTACTTTGGTACCCAAGCCCCACAAAGACACAACTAAGAAAGAGAACTTCAGACCAAAATCCCTCATGAACATTGATGGAAAAATACTCAATAAAGTACTGTCAAATCGAATCCAAAAACACATCAGAAAAGTCATCCACTATGCCTTTTATTCTTAATTTTGGTCTTTTCACAGTGTCCCATATGTCCTGGATATTTTGTGTTAAGGATTTGTTAAACAACATTTTCCTTGGTTGGTGAATCTATTTCCTGTAGTGTATATTAAGCACCTGAGATTCTCTCTTCTATCTCTTGTATTCTGTTGGTTATGCTTGTATCTGTAGTTCCTGATCATTTATCAAGATGTTCTACTTCTAGCATTCTCTCAGTTTATGTTTTTTTTATTGTATCTATTTCACTTTTCAGGTTTTGAGCTGTTTGAATTGTTTTCTTCACCTGTTTGCTTGTTTTTTTCCTGGTTTTCCTTAAGACAGTTGTTTCTTGCATTTTTTTTGGTTTTCCTTTTCCTATATTTCTTGAATTTTTGTTTTCTCTTTCATTTCTTTAAGGGATTTTCTCATTTCCTCTAAGGACCTCTGTTATGTTCATAAAGTTATTTTTAGTGTCTTGTCTTCTGCTTCATCTGCATTGTGATGTTCAGGTCTTCCTAGACTCTGGTGGTGTCACATAACTCTTTATGTTGTTGAATGTGTTCTTATAGTGTCATCTTCCCATTTCATCTTCCAGTGGGTGCAGGTGGAACGTGTCCTGGTAGGTGTGGGGTCAAGGAAGGATGGTGGATGGTTTGTGTTGCACCCCAGTCTCTCACCCTGGCTATTCTTGATTGTGGTTTTACAATAATATCTATCTAGGCATCTGAGATTGGGGTGATACGTCTAGGTGATGATTTCTGGATTTGTCTTTTTTTTGGTGTTTGTTTTTTTCCTTGGTTTGTCTCCTATCTGGAATTTTGGAGAGTATGAAGGCTGTTTTGCCTCTTTTCCTGACCTGTTCTGCTGTTCTCTTCACAGCAAATTTCTGCTGCTGTTGAAGGCTGGAATAATTGGATGAGTTGTGAGAAGCCAGGTTCAAGGAGAAGGTTTTTGTGACACTTAGGGATAGAGTCAGAAATGAAGTGGAGACCACATCAGATTTCCTGGGCTTGGGATAAAACTAGGGGTATGGGATTTCAGGAGTAGTAGAAGAGGTGTGGGTTTGCCTTCAGCCTACTTGTTGCTCTAGGAGGAGAGGCCCTTGTTTTAGCAGGTGGCGCCTTTTGGATTAGGGTCTGGGATAGAGCAATGAGTGGAAGGAGCTTGGTAAATATGAAGGACATCTCTGGGATCCAAGTGGGATGCAAGCAGGGTTGGGTTGCCAAGTTCGTTCTGCTACAGAGCTGAAGTTGAGACTGGAGAATTGGATCTGGGGTAACAGAGAGAGATGTTCTGTGGGCAGTGAACACAGCTTTCTGGCAGGTATGGTCAGTGGGTTAGCTTAGGGCTGTTTGCTTTAGACGGTGGCCTTTTTCATATTCTGCTTGTCTGCTTTGTTCCAGTGAATGTCTTTTGTTTAAATTTATGTTTTTATTGTTAATTTGTGCTCACGGCCCAGGCTTCCCATGTATGCACTCCTCTCCTGTGATCTGACCCCCAAAGAAATAGAAAAAAAATCTATTTTGTGTTGTTCATATATTCACTGAAGCACTGTCAGATTCCTAGTGGCAAGCCTCCCAAGGGAGGGTAAGTCCCTGCTTGTATCACACCAGAAGCCGGCAACTGAGAAGGGTTCTGCTGGGGCTTGCACTTCTAAGCATGGTGTGGACAGTATGCCTCCCAGAGGCAGAAAAGCCCAAGGACATAACCAAGGCATCAGGCAATGGTACAGACTGAAAATTTACACATGGATTTCAGCCCTTATCATGGCACTTGCACCACCAATACCAGCATGGCCTACTGAAACGTCTCAGACCATGGTGGGCCCTTTGGGAGGTCCGATTCAGAAAATGAACATTTTCTCATTTCAGGCTTCATCATTGCCAAGAGCCAAGGGGATCCTGTGGCTAAGTGGCAGGTTCAGGGGCTGAGTCTTTGTCTGCATAAGCTCCAGAGTGTTGCATAGCATCCTGCTGACCTACTGGGTAATGACAGAGTGTAGACCTCAGTCCTTTCCCTCACCTGTCACCTCCATCCCATCTCCAGCTCTGCCTCTCTCCATGGCAACTTTTATTTCCTCAGTTAGCCATTCTGACTAGAGTAAGATGAAATTCCAAGTTAGTTTTAATTTGAGTTTCTGTGAAGGCTCAGCATGGTGGACACTTTTGAAAGTATGTTATAGCTATGTGTATTTTTTTTGTTCTGAGAATTTTGCTTTTAGTTTCACTTTCTGTTTTTCAATTTTTTTTGGTTTTGTTCCATCAGTTGAATGTAGGGACTTGGCTATGTGGTTATTTGTCGAGGGGAATTTACTGGGAACACCCACATGCTACAGAAGCACTGGTCCCCAGAATCTTCACAGGCCACACCCCATCCTTGTTGTTAGGATTGGTGTCTGTCTGTGTCCAATCAAGAAGAGTCTAGCTGTTCCAGTACATTATGAATTTATGCTCTGTGTTTTCTGGCTGTAGATTACTGCATCGCACAGAAACATTGGCTAAAGATATGGGGATTCCAGGGAACAGCATCCCCCTTCCTCTTTAAATTGTAGCATTGAGAATTTAAAGCCAGAATATCAAGTGGGTAGAGGAAAGGTTGCTCAGCTTAGAGCTGTGTGGTAGAATGAAATCAGAGACAGGTCTTGTTCAAGAACACATCCTCTTCCTCTTTTGTGTTGGATGTCACCATCCCCTCCCTCAGCCTGCTCATTCTCATGGATGTGTCCCACCGTGTGGTCTGTGTCATTGGTTCTGTGTGGTGTTTATGTGGAGATCTGGCATGAGGCACTTCCATGGGCCTTGGAGCTGCTCTTCTTGGATTTGGTGAGACAGGGGTCATTATTTTTTAGCCAGAGTGGTAAGGAATCCAGAATTCCAGATTTATAACCTGGGTTCCTTTCACAGATCTCTTAATCTATGAAGACCTGGCCTAGTGGCCGCAGAGGAGTCTTCCCTGGCCTCAGCCTGTCCATCTGGCCATGGTCTTCTGATCTGAGTTCTGGGTCGGGATCAGTGTATAACAGGGCAGACTTCTCTTATCAGACTCTTTGCTCTATTTTCAGTGTTTTTAATGGGCCAGAGCATCTGGGCACAGTATGGTGAGTCTGTTGTTTATCCAAGGGAAACTGAGTTTGGCTGGGAGTAGCATGGGAGGAACTCATGACATCTTTTTTTTTCCCAGAAAATAAGAATCATTTTATTTTATTTTATCTTACTTTATATTGTGGTATAAAATTACAGCATAATTTATATGATCTTATTCTTTTTTTACCATTTCTTATTTTAATTTTAAATAGCTTGTTTTACATGTCAATCCCAGTTCCCTCTCCCTCCCCTCCTCCCGCACTCCCCTTCCCCCCACCCTCCCACCCTATTGCCAAATCCTTCCACATAGGGGATATCCAGAGTCTGTAATTTCACTCTGGGTAGGGTCCAGGCACTCCCCTAAGAGTCCAGGCTGAGAGAGCATCCCTCTTTGTGCTATAGGCACACGAAGACTGTTTGTATACCAGGGATAGACACTGATCCACAGCTTAGGGCCCCATAGGTTGCCCAGGCCTTCTCGCTGACACTCACATTTGGGGGGGTCCAGATCAGTCCCATGCTGGCCTCCCCACTGTCGGTCTGGGGTCCAAGAGCTCTCCTCTGTTCAGATTAGCTGTCTCTGCTGGTTTTGCCAGCCCATTCTTTGCCAATTTGCTCATCACTCCTCTCTCTCTGTCACTGGGTTCCTTGGGTTCAGTTCAGTGATTAATTGTGTGTTTGTCTCTGCTTCCATCAGTCACAGGATGAAGGCTCCCGGATTGTTATAGACATCAAGTTCATTATCAGGAATGGGCATTCGAGGTGGTCTCTCCACTATTGCTTAGCTTGCCAATTGGTGTTATCCCTTTAGATCACTCGAGGTCACTCTCGTGCCTGATCTGTATTCGATCCTATGATTCCCTCTTCCCCCTATTCTACCCCCACCCCATCAACTTCCTGTTCCCCCATGAACAACTCTCTTCCTCTTCACCCCCTCTCTTCTTCCCAGGTCCCACTCCCCGCCCACCCCTCACCGTGTTCCCCATCCATTCAGGGGATCTTGTCTCAATCCTCTTCTTTTGGGTACTATGCATATATGCATATCTTTTAGGTTCTTTCCTGTTTCCCAGACTCTCTATCAGTGGAAGTGCAGAGTGGCACTATCCTGATCCATGTCTAAAATCCGTATATGAGTGAGTACATACCATGTTTGTCTTTTTGCGACTGGGTTACCTCACTCAGGATGGTTTCTTCCAGTGCTATCCATTTCCCTGCGAATTTCAAGATTCCATTGTTTTTTCTGCTGAGTAATACTCCATTGTGTAAATGTACCACATTTTCTCTATCCACTCTTCAGTTGAGGGGCATCTAGGTTGCTTCCAGGTTCTGGCTATTACAAATAATGCTGCTATGAACATAGTGGAGCAGATGCCCTTGTTGTATGAATTTGCCTCATTTGGATATATGCCTAAGAGTGGAATTGCTGGGTCTAGTGGTAGATTAATTCTCATTTTCCTGAGGAATCTCCATACTGATTTCCAAAGAGGCTGTATGAGTCGGCACTCCCACCAGCAGTGGAGGAGTGTTCCTCTCTCTCCACATCCTCTCCAGCATAAATTGTCTTCGGTGTTTTTGATTCTAGCCATTCTGACAGGAGTAAGATGGTATCTCAGAGTTGTTTTGATTTGCATTTCCCTGATGGCTAAGGATGTTGAGCACTTTCTTAAGTGTCTCTTGGCCATTTTAGCCTCCTCTACTAAGAATTCTCTATTTAGCTCTGTACCCCGCCTTTTAATTGGATCCTTTGGTGTTTTGGAGACTTGTTTCTTGAGTTCTTTGTAAATTTTGGAGATTAGCCCTCTGTCAGATGTAGGGTTAGTGAATATCTTTTCCCATTCTGTGGCCTGCCTTTTTGTCTTTTTGACTGTGTCCTTTGCCTTACAGAAGCTTTTTAGTTTCAGAAGGTCCCATTTGTTAATTGTCGATCTCAGTGCCTGTGCCACTGGTGTTATGTTTAGGAAGTGGTCTCCTGTACCAACTCGTTGAAGAGTATCTCCCACTTTCTCTTCTAAAAGTTTCAGTGTGGCTGGATTTATGTTGAGATCTTTGATCCATTTGGACTTAAGTTATGTACAAGGTGATAAACATGGATCTATCTGCAGTCTTCTGCATACCAGTACCCAGTTATGCCAGCACCATTTGTTGAAGATGCTTTCTTTTTTCCATTGTACAGTTTTAGCTTCTTTGTCAAAAATCAAGTGTTCATAGGTGTGTGGGTTAAAATTAGAGCTTTCGATTCGGTTCCATTGGTCTACCTGCCTATTTTTGTGCCAATACCAAGCTGTTTTCAGGACTATAGCTCTATAATAGAGCTTGAAGTCAGGTATGGTGATGCCTCCTGAAGTTCCTTTATTGTATAGGGATGTTTTAGCTATCCTGGACCTTTTGTTTTTCCATATAAAGTTGATTAATGTTCTTTTCAGGTCCTTGAAGAATTGTGATGGAATTTTGATAGGGATTGCATTGATTCTGTAGACTGCTTTTGGCAAGATTGCCATTTTTATTATGTTGATCCTACCAATCCAAGAGCATGGGAGATCTTTCCAGTTTCTGGTATCTTCTTTGATTTCTTTCTTTAAAGACACAAAGTTCTTGATATACAAGTCTTTAATTTCCTTGGTTAACATTATCCCCAGATATTTGATGCTGTTTTTGGCTATTGTAAAGGGTGATGTTTCTCTGATTTCTTTCTCAGTCACTTCATCATCTGTATATAATAGTGCCACTCATTTTTGAGTTTACCTTGTATCCTGCCACATTGCTGAAGGTGTTTATCAGCTCTAGGAGTAACCTTGCGGAGGTTTTTGGGTCACTTATGTAAACTATCATATCATCTGCAAATAGTGAAAGTTTGACTTCTTCTTTTCCTATTTGTATCCCCTTTATCTCCTTTTGTTGTCTTATTGCTGTAGCTAGAACTTCAAGTACAATATTGAAGAGATATGGAGAGAGTGGACAGCCTTGTCTTGTTCCTGATTTTAGAGGAATTGCTTTGAGTTTCTCTCCATTTAGTTTGATGTTAGCTGTTGGTTTACTGTATATTGCTTTTATTATATTCAGGTACTTTCCTGTTATCCCTGATCTCTCTAGGACCTTTATCATGAAGGGGTGCTGGATTTTGTCAAAGGCTTTTTCAGCATCTAGTGAGATGATCATGTGGTTTTTCTTTCGCAGATTGTTAATATGGTGGATTACATTGATAGATTTTCTAATGTTGAGCCATCCCTGCATTCCTGGGATGAAGCCTACTTGATCATGGTGGATGATTTTTCTGATGTGTTCTTGAATCCGGTTTGCGAGTATTTTATTGAGTATTTTTGCATCAATGTTCATGAGGGAAATTGGTCTATAGTTCTCTTTCTTAGTTGTGTCTTTGTGTGGCTTGGGTATCAATGTAATTGTAGCCTTGTAGAAAGAGTTTGGCAGTGAGCCTCCTGCTTCTATTGTGTGGAATACTTTGAGGAGTATTGGAATGAGCTCTTCTTTGAATTTCTGGTAGAATTCTGCACTGAAGCCATCTGGGCCTGGGCTTTTTTTATTTGGGAGACTTTTGATGACTGCTTCTATTTCATTAGGCGTTATAGGTCTGCTTAGATTGTTTATCTGTTCTTGATTTCGTTTTGCCAAGTGATATCTATCCAGGAAATTGTCCATTTCCTTTAAATTTTCAAATTTTGTTGAGTACAGATTTTCAAAGTATGCCCTTATATTTCTCTGGATTTCCACAGAGTCTGTGTTATGTCCCCTTTTTCATCCCTGATTTTGTTAATTAGCATGCTCTCCCTCTGTCTTTTGGTTAGTTTGGACAGAGGTTTATCTATTTTGTTGATTTTCTCAAAGAACCAACTCTTTGTTTCATTGATTCTTCTCAGTGTTTTTCTGGTTTCTACTTGATTGATTTCAGCCCTCAATTTGATTATTTCCTGGCGTCTGCTCCTCCTGGGGGAGTTTGCTTCTTTTTGTTCTAGAACATTCAGCTGTGCTATTAATTCTCTAGTATGACTGTTCTCCAGTTTTTTCATGTGGGCACTTAGTGCTATAAACTTTCCTCTCAGCACTGCTTTCAAAGTGTCCCATAAGTTTGTGTATGTTGTGTCTTCATTCTCATTGAAATCGAGCAAGTCTTTAATTTCTTTTTTTATTTGTTCCTTTACCCAGGGATGGTGCAATTGTGCATTGTTCAATCTCCATGAGTTTGTAGGGTTTCTGCGATTGTGTTATTGTTGAATTCTAATGTTAATGCATGGTGGTCTGATAAGATTGTTGTCTGGGGTGATGAGCAAACCACCAATCCCGGCTCTACACGTCTCACTCGGAGCTCCTAGGCTTATATAAGGGGCTGGGTTTCTTAGCTTGGGGTCTCCCTTTCAGAAGCTGATCATCTATCTCTCAAGATGTATTAAAGCTTTACTGCAGAAGGATCCGAGTGTCCTGCGTCGTTCTTGCTGGCGAGACGGTAGCGCGGGACAACTAGAGGCCCCGTAGAGTGCCTACTTTTCCATTTTAAACCATCAATTTTTAATCATACACAGACCTAATTTTCTCTGTTTTATTAGTGTTTACCATTGTTAATGTGAAAACTCTTTTTTAAAACAACTTTTTATTTAAATTGAACATATTCCTATTTTGCATGCCAATCCCAGCTCCCACTCCCTCCCATCCTCCCTTGCTCCCAACCTCCTACTACACCCTCCATCCACTCTCCAGGGAGGATGAGGCCTCCCATGGGGGATAAGTAAAGTCTGACACATCATTTGGGTAGGGCATAGGCCCTCCCCTATGTATTTAGATTTAGAGTATCCCACCGTGGGAATGGGCTTCCAAAGCCCATTTGTACACTAGGGATAAGTACTGGTTCCACTGCCAGAGGCCCCATAGACTTCCCAGGCTTCTCAACTGACACCCTTGTTCAGGGGCCTGAGTTTGGCCCTATGCTTGTCCCCCATCTCTGAGACTGGAGTCCATGAGCAAGAAAAGATATACCTTATTAGAGGGAGCCATTATAGGTTTAAAGAGAAATATGGCACTAGGGAAATGTTCAATGATCCACAAGGATGACCCCAACTAAGAATCTAAGCAATAGAGGATCGGCTACCTTAAGTGCCCTTCCCCTATATTGGGAATGATGACTACCTTAAATGCCTTCCTAGAGCCTTTATCCAGTACCTGGTGAAAGTAGAAGCAGAGATTCACAGCCAAGCACTGAGCCAAACTCCTGGAATTCAGTTGTAGAGAAGGAGGAGTGATGAGCAAAGGAGTCAAGACCATGCTAAGGAAAGACATCAAAAGAATCTCTTTTAAAAAACTAACCTCAGCCAGGCGGTGGTGGCACACGCCTTTAATCCCAGCATTCGGGAGGCAGAGGCAGGAGGATCTCTGTGAGTTCGAGGCCGGGCGGGACTGAAACCCTGTCTTGTAAAACAAACAAACAAAAAACAAAAACAAAACCAAAAACTAATCTCTTTCTTTAAGAATTTTCCATTGACTTTTGACGTCTGTTGGTAGTGTCAGTGCACTGTTGTAGCATGTCTGAATCTGAGAACTAGCTTGTGACCATGAGCTGAGAGTGTCAGCCTGAGGAGAGGGGCTGTAGGAAAACGACAAAAGCCTGCTGAGTTTTGGTAGCATCTGAAGACTGTTTACAAAACCCACAACTGAAAAATCCCACACTTGCTCGAAGATTTGAGGAGGAAGCAAAAGAAAGCCCAGCTGGTCATGCAGGGACTCAGGCAGGAGTCCCTGCCTGCAGCACAGCTTTGGGCCAGGCCTGGTGGCCTCAAAGAGGCTTTTTTCGTGAATTCCTACTTTAAGGCTGGGCTCCAATGGCAGTACAATAAATAGAAGACCCAGAGACTAATCTTGGGGTTTTAAGCTTCAAGCCAAAGATCAGAAAAGCAAAACATCCGGCCACTAGCTCTTTCCTCTCCCTCAGGCTCAAAGGTGATCCTGCCTCCACCAAATCTCAGACTGAAATTCCAGACAGCTATGCTCTCCTCCTAGTGTATCCTCAATGTGGTTGGAGAATGAATGCCAGCTCTGAGACCCTGTTCCTATCTTAAATACCTCTCATGAATCCTGGGATTAAAGGTGTGTAATCCCAAGTGCTGAGACCATCCTTGTGTGAGCAGTTTCTCTTTAGGACTGGATATAGCTCATGTACCTCAGTGTGGCCTTGAAGTGAAAGAAATCTGTCTATCTCTGCCTCCCAAGTGGTAGAATTAAAGGTGTTTACCACCACCACCTTGTCTGGGTAGCTTGAGGCTGGTTTTGCTTTCTGAACATTCAGGTAAGCTTTAATAAATCATTAATAATATATCACCACATGTGGTCCTTTTAGAGATAGAAGTTCAAAATAAAGTTGATGTTTGTTGAGATAAAATCTTGAAATTTTCCTTTTCTTTTCCTCTACAGTGTCTTCTACTTCAAATTACATTTTAGACAATCACGTCCGGCACATTATGGCTATCTTCATTGTGTTAACCCTTGGAGTTCTATTGCTGGATGCTTGGAAGAGCAGAAGAGAGCCCATGGGGCCTTGAGAGAGCCCTAAGATGAGAACCTAGCTGCTCCCTTCTACACCTCAACAAAATGTTGGCAATCAAGAGTCTAAAAGGAGATGTGATTTCTCTACTGAGTACTGAGTGTCTGTATATGTGGTACAATACCTGCGATGTGACTGGAATTACAGAATTCCTTGTGCGGTTTTTGTAGGAGAGATTCCCCCTAGCAGCAGATCCCTGTTTCTGTCTTCTATATCCTGTAGGACATCTCTGTGCAGTGTCAATTCTTCATTTCTTATTTCTCTGCACAGGATTGCTTTCCTCTGCAGTCTTCCTTGCCACCCTGGGGACATCCTACTTTGGAATGTGAGTGTATTGCATTGTTGACATCAACACAGAATTGTCACCAGTGCTAACACCCTGCACACATGGGAATGTCAAAGGTTTCCCCTGGTCCTTGTGTAGATGTTGGTAGTGAGTGTAGTAAGTTTCATATGCAATGTCCTCTTCCATGACTGAAGCTTTAGGCTGTTCTCCTCCAGAGACCACCTATGCCAGGAACTAACCCTCCCCTCTCATTCCTGCTATATATAACAGTAGCAAGTCAATGAGTTTCCAGTTTGCTTGTTCATCTCCAACAGAGTGTGTACTGTCCACCTGACCCCAACTTTGCTTACTTCCTTTGAGTCTTTCTTCAGTGTCTTTCCCCCAGTCAGATTCTCAAACTCAGCTGCATGTCCTGCATCTCTACCCATCGTGTGTAAGGAGCTGCCTACTTGGTCTTGTATGCTCACTATGCTCCTCTACCACGGGCCCTGTGAGCGAATTCCATGCTTCAGTGTGTTTCCTTATCAAGAACAGCACTTGCCTTCTTTCTTTTGATCACCAGATGTGTTTTATTGGGATTCTTTATTTCATTGGTGGCACTAGACTTTTGACTCATCCCTTTGCCAGCGCCTTCCATGTACCTCTAGCTTATTTTCTTCCTCCCCCCACTGATATCTTATTATACACTTGCTTCTGAAAACATTTCTTAGGTATGTGTATTTCTTGTTCTCAAATGTTTAGTTCCACTATTTTTATTTTATGTTTTGTTTTGTTTTGTCAGTGAGATGTAGGGACTTGGCTACATAGTTATTTGGTCATGGGAATTTACTGGGAACATCCACATACTATAGAAGCACTGGTCCTCAGCATCTTCACTGGCCACCCCCCCCCAAATCTATGTTTTCAGATTTGGTGTCTGCCTGTGTCCCATCAAAAGAGTCTGACTGTTCCAGCAGATTATGAATTTGTGCCTCGTAGTGTCTGGATGCATCCTACTGCATCTCACTGAAATATTGGTCATAACTCTCCTACATCAGATATGGGGATGCCAGGGAACAGCATCCCCCTATGTAGGGAGAGATTTTACATATCTGTAGCTACAACCACTCTGGTGTGTGTGTGTTCACAGGTACCTAGAATGTACAGGGGATAAATGGAGCTAGGGAAAGGAAAGTCTCTCTTTGGGCTTTGGTTTCAACGTGGAGAGCAGCGTGTGGACACTTGGCTCTCGGCTTTCTTGGCTTTTCACGTAAATGATTTCTCTTCCAATAAAATATCATAGGACATCACTATTTTTGTAGTTTAATATTTCTGCATCACCCCTTCCACTTTAGATGGCATTGTTGAGAATTTAAAGGCAGAATTGTAGGTGCACAGAGGAACTGTTGCCCATCCTAGAGCTGTGTGGTAGAGTGAAGTCACAGACAGACCTTGTGTGAGAACACATCCTCTTCCTCTTTTGTGTTGGATGTCACCATCCCCTCCCTCAGCCTGCTCATTCTCTTGGGTGTGCCCCACTGTGTGGTCTGTGCCACCCGTCCTGTGTGCTGTTTGTGTGATCTGGCATGAGGCACTGCCATGGGCCTTGTAGCTACTCTTCTTGGACTTGGTAAGTGAGACAGGGGTCATTATTTTTTATCCAGGGGGTAAGGAATACAGAATTCCAGATTTTGCTACCGAGGCTCCTCTCACAGAACTCTTCTTCTATGAAGATATAGCAAGTGGCTGCAGAGGAGTCTTCCCTGGCCGCAACCTGTGCATCTGTTATCTTTTGTTCTGGGCTCTGGTGTTGGGATCAGTGTATAACAGGACAGACTTTTCTTATCAGGTCTTTTGCTCTATTTTCAGTGGTTTTAATGGAGCAGAAGATCTGGGCACAGAGTGGTGAGTCTTTCCTGTTTTATCCTAGGGAAACTGTCTTTGTCTGGGAGGAGTTTGAGGCACCTTTAGCAAATCTTGAGATGGGATTTTTATTGGCAGCCACTGGCACACTTACTCAATGATTAGTTCTTGCTATTGCAGCCATCTTTGGGGTGGAGATTGTCCATCAAATGCCCACTTGATATCTGTCTCTGATGGATATTGAATCAAATGGCTCTGAGGAGGGGGAATCTGCACACACATGCTTCCTCCTGAAGACACACTCTTGGTGTCAAATTTGTTTTCTTTTTCCTTCTGTCTCTTCTCACCTTGTCTATGTGGCACTTTAAAAAATTTTTTTTTATTTCAGTTAGAAACATGCTTGCTTCACATGTCAATTCCAGCCCCGTCTCCCTCTCCTCCTCCCCTGTCCCACACCAACTCCCTCAATCCCCACTCTGATCCCCAGGGAGGGTAGGTACTCTGTGAGGGATCTTCAATGTCTGTTATATCATACCATGCAGGGACTCTACCCTCCCCCATGTGTCCAGGCTGAGAGAGCACTCCTCCATGTGGTATGGACTCCCAATGTCTATTCGTATGCCAGGGATAAACAGTGATCTACTTGCCATGGGCGAGTCAACCTGCCTGCAGTCCCCAGGCCAGGAGATCCCAGAGTGGGCAGGCAGACGTCGGGCCCAAGGCATAATAAAGAAAGAATATTAAGAGCAGCTAAGGAAAAATGCCAAGTAACATATAAAGGCAAACCTATCAGAAGTACACCTGACTTCTCCATGGAAACAATGAAAGCCAGAACATTAAGAGACCACGGATGCCAGCCCAAACTAATATACTCAGCAAAGCATTCAGTCACTATAGATGGAGAAGACAAGATATTCCATGACAGAAACCAGATTTAAACAATACATATCCACTAACCCAGCCCTACAGAATGTTCTGGAAGGAAAACTGCAACCTGTAGAGAGAAGGCTTTTCCTTGCTAGCCGCTTCCAGAGCCATATCAGTCCCAAATAAACACACAGGAGGCCATATTAATTATGAAGCTGTTGGCCTTGCTTGTTTCTTACTGGCTAGCTCTGACTTAAGTATTTATCCCATAATTATTAATCTAAGTATTTCTTGTACTGGAGCAGTTTCCGGGCTTCTTATCCCTATGGCGGTTACATGTTGATTCTCTGTGTTTCTCCTACCCAGAGTCCTCCTCGACTCCTAGTCCCACCTATCTTGCTTCCCCATTGGCCAACAGTGCTTTATTGACATATACACAGGACTTCCTCCATCATCTCCCCTTTTCTGTCTAAACAAAAAGAAAGGTCTTAACTTTAACATAGTCAAATTATATATAACAGATCAGTTATCAAGTAAGGACACAGTTACAATATTTTGTCTATCACCATTTAGCAAGATTAGAGAAAATATCATCTATCCTATCCTTGTGGGTACAAAGTCCTATATGTAGCTTATCTTTTATCATAACTAAGGAAAACTATAACTGTAACTATCTGCCTTTAAGTCCATCCTCCATCAAAGACCACAGAAGGATAGTACATAAACACTAGGATTGACAGAGGCATCTTACTGCCTGAATAGTGACCTGAAGTTCCTCTGTAATGTTGGGGCATCCATTTTCAGCCCATAGGCCTCAGTGTGTCTGGAAGACTTCTCTGTAAAGCAGGAAATTTTAAACTGTCCATCTGCATTGGCAGTCTGTCAGTCATTTCTCTGTGTCCTGCAGAAAGTCTCGTAGACTCTTCCATGAAGCAGACACCCTGAAGGACTAATTTGAGTTCAGCAGTCACTTTCCTGTGGGTCCTGCATGTCCCGTTTATACAGCAACAGTCAAGAAGTCTAGGCAAGAACAGTTTTTTGCCCAAATGGCTAATCTTGCCTGTCCCGACCCGCAGGACATTCAACGTGGGTCTGGTGGACACCGAGGAGAAAGATGGAGGACAGGGGATACAGGAATGGACGCCAAGACAGGATTCTGATCAAGGCGACAACTTTATTTCGTCACAAAGGGATTTATATAGGAGAAGTGAGGAGGGGAAGGGGGAAGGTGTGCTTGCTGTTGCAGGGGAAAGAGGTCAGTGGGAGAGGTGGTCTGCTGCGTTGCCTGGCTACCTAATCTACAGGACAAGGGGTCAGGGATAGGAATTCCTATGTTGCTTGTTAACCTGACAGCAGGATCCGATTCTATCTATTACAATTTACTACTGCTCAGGCCTATCTTCTGAGGACCTTGTAGTTTTTCCAATTAAGCTAATCTTTAACTGACTGGTAAACCCCAGGCTTGTTACTTAGAATTTGCTTTATGTCAGAAGGGGTGGCAGGGTGGTCTTAGTGTCATGTCTTCTCTATGAGTACATGATATAGCCTAGCTCCTTGATGGCTGGAGGTCCCTGACTTCTCCCCCTTTCTGGTTGAACAGAAATTTAGGTGCAGCCTGAGTATGAGTTACCTGAGAACCACAGTGATGATGGAGCCTGTCTTTGGATCGATCTGAGAGGCTTCACCCCTTACCTGTCATCGGATTACTTTGCCAGCCTTCAAAGCTCCTGTCTTGGGGGGGGGGGGAAGCATCAGAGGGGAGCCCGTCTGTGGTCAGCCATCAATAGTGGTGGTTATTTATTTTGTTGGTAAAGGGGCCTTCCAAAGACCCCGGCTGGGGCTGCAAGGGGGGGTCATGAGCTGATTATGTGCCCTGGAGGAGTTTGTCTCCTTCTGCTATGTGGAGACTGGGAACATTAGGCGAAGTTCGCCTTCCTCCTTGCCATCACTATCCTCAGCTTTCTGATAAGGACCACTCTCCTTCATGGCCAGCCTCTGATAGTGGATCTGGATAGGCCTTGTGACATGATTATCTATTTGCTGCTTAATAAAGTCTGTCAGACGCCTAAGGGCCCATGGGCCAAAAGAAATAAGCAATATAAAGCCTAAAAGGGGGCCCAAAATATTGGGCAATAAGGTAAAAAGTCAGGGAGAAGTAGAAAACCAATTATTATACCAACTCTTCTGTTGCTCCCTCTCTCTTTCTTTTCTCTATACCCTCTGTTTTTCTTCATGCTATCTTTGACTCCCTGTTTTGTTAACATAGAAACAGCATTCTTCTTTAAGGGCTGCACAGATTCCTCCTTGTTTGAGAGCACAAGGAATGAAATCCTAGTGCCTGCGCCTGTGGCTCCCAGCCCCAAAAGCACATCTTGCTTAGAATAATAGTGAAGGCGGGGAACTAATCTAACTAAAATGTAAAACATAGGGGCAGAATTTAGCAGGTAGTGAGGCCATCCTTGACAGGCCTACCATTCTCAGGGATCAGATAAGAGGAGGAGTTCCTATACTAGAAGAGAGTGAGGTTGCAGAGGTGAGGATGGGTTGAGGAAATTTGGAAACTGGGCAGGGGAGGGGGCTGTGCAGTCAGGAACACTGGTTCAGCATGTTTCACTGGAGCTGGTTTGGACAGCTTTCCATGGTTTCAGGTCCAGTTTTTTTCTTCACTCCAAGCATCCCACCAAGTTTTTGGCAGCCACAAAGCTTTTTTCTTTTCCTGTAAGAAAACACAAACATTCCCTCCACCCCAAATTGGGTCTTTTCCACTGTCTAGTGTATGGATGTTTTATCTGACCAGAGCAAAGTCACTTGAGTTCCATAATGTCAGAATCTGTCTGTTGCAGACTGTTTTACTGGCATCCATATTTTAAAAGTTTAAAATGAAGAGTGCATGATTTAGTACATCATGTGGAGACAAAGGTGATTTTATAGTCATTTTTGTAGGCAGCATGTGACTAAGGTTCATTGTGGAGTATGTCTGAATTGCTATTCCCATGCCTGCGGAGCCACTGGCTAAGGCCCGATACTCCAAATCCCACTAGCGGGATGAATTAGATGGCTTTCAAATATCTAGGAATAAGATAATCCATGGGCTCACTTGCTGGAATAAACTCCACATCTGGAAGAAGAGTGGCTAGTACACATAACCCTGTCCAATTTGTAGGCAACATGGAAGAAGCCATTTCATTTTCACATGTCAAAACTTACCGGGTGGGAAGTAGTGACATTGCTATTACTCCCCCCTTTTTAGTTTATAGAAGTTGTATTTTTAAGGAGGTATGAGCATGCTCTACAATTCCTTGAGGATTGTAAGGAATACCTGTTGATTAATTTTTTATTGAGTACAAAATAGCTGAATGCCTTATTAGAATATCCAGACCTATTGTGTGTTCTTTATTACATTTGGAACTCCCATGTAAACAAAACATTTTAAACAGTGACTTATCATATGCTTGGTAACTTTTTTCAGTTTGTGTGGTGGCTATCAAAAAAAACGAATACCATGTGTACATATTATAACTTGTCAAATTCTGTAACATAAATGTATAAATTTATTGCCATAAATGATTAGGAAGTAGGCCTCTAGGGTTCACTCTTATATTAGTTACAGAAAAATATTGTGGGCACATCTGATTGTTTGACAATTTTGATAAGCAGTCTCTTTGGTTAAACCAAATTGTTTTCATAGACATTTGTTATTTTGATGATGAAAATTAATGAGACCGAGGAGCTCTCTCCACCAGAGTCAAAGCGACCAACTTTGTTAATTTGTTTGTTGACTCATTTCCCTTAGCCAATGGGCTGGGAAGGTTTGAATGAGCTCTTACATTACCCACAAAATATGGCAATTGCATTTTGAATTTGTTTAAATAATATTTTAACCTGATCATTGTTAGTTTTAATGTACTGAACCATCTTTATTATTTGAGGAGCTTTAAAAACATAATGATTGTCACTATACAATTAAGTGAATTATTTACTAGAAGTTGAAAAACCTTTGTAACAGCTCATAACTCGACTATCTGAGCTGAAGACAGAGATGTTTGCTCCACATATTTCTTACCATCCATACCATAATTTGTTCTTCCATTAGATTAACTATTAGTAAAAACTAGCACAACATTTTTTTTTGTTTTTTACGAGACAGGGTTTCTCTGTATTGTTTCGGAGGCTAT